GTAAAGACAGCAGAATTCAGTTCTGTTTTATCATCCACCACTGAGAGAACATTGTGACGTTTAGCTTAGACAAATAACAGTCATAACAATGTATTATCAACATTAGCATCTTCACTGCCACACTCCGCTAGTCACAGAGCCAATGCTGTGCAAATAGAGACTAAATTTGCTTCAGTGCTCTAAATGTAGGCACATACCTATTGGGAATATTAACTTAAAATTAAAGCAGGGTTCAACTATTCTGCTTGACGGGGACCTGAAGAAGCAATCATCTCAGAATAAAGCAGGGGAGAATTTGAGAGGGAACAGTAAAAACCTGTATGGTTCTTTTTTGTCTGCCTGTTTCTGCAAGCTGTTTCAAGCAGGTTCAAGGGGTCTGTCACTGCATAGCCTGCAGTATTACAGCTTACAAAATAGTTTCACGATCAGTTGAGTCTGGCACAGATTTACTTTGCTGAAAACAGGATCGTTCCCCTTGGCTTCAGCTGCTCAAGTCCTGGCACTAAGATTCGCATCCAGCCATATGGCAGACTGGCTCAGGGAACCACTTGGCTGTAGGCTAATCATTTGTGGGGACTTCAGTTATTTTTCAGCTAGATCAGTTCCCTGACTCAGTTCTCTGCATGGCTACACGAACACTGGTGTTGGTGTAAGGAAATGGGGCACAAGTAAGGGGCCAGCAATGGGGAGAAAGGCTGAAAGGAGTTCCAGGCTGCCCTTCTCAGTGCTGGCTTATGCCAGGTTATCATGGTGTCAAACTAAGGCAAAGGTAATGTTCTCAAAAGGTTGCTGAACTCTGATAGCAGTGGAAAATGTTGGAAACTAGGATGTTTAAGAAGCTGGTCCTCCAGTTATGCAAAAATCTAAGGCAGATGGAAACGTCTTAAAAAGGAACCTTTTAAAACCAGATCCTCTCAATGCCAAGCCAAAACAGAAAACAGCATTCTGCAGCTTCTTTGCAATCTGAATGCACTCAGATGCAAGAACTCATGATCTGCTACAAACAGAAATAAAAACAAGTAGTTGCAAGAAGACAAATGAATCATCACAAACTGTAAAGTACATTCCATTTTAAAGAAACACTTGCTGTCTAAACAATCAGGAATTCCCTTTTAATGAAGACCTGTAGATACCTGAGGATATGGCTTTAAGTTTTGCGGTGTCCCATAAAAACTTGGAAGTGCCCATTGCTGTTGATGAATTTCTGTATACCATGCATCAGATAGAAAAACAGTGCCTTTGGAAATGCTAGAATTTGATTTTTATACCACTATAATTTATTTAGCAATTAAGAAATTTGTTTTACATTTACCAGCAATCTTAAGCCTGTCTGATTAGAGGTCTTCTTCTTTACCTATCCAATTTAAGCGTAAAAACATGTTTTCAGTATTCTCAGGCAGAAGGGGAAAAAAAGGTCCAAGGTCACAGCTGGAGGAGCTGTGTTGCAAACAAGTGCGTGCACATGAACATTTTCATAGGTCCAAGCTCTCTGAGTAGGGCTAAAACCACTAAGGCAGCTGCTCAGTTTCCTGAGGTATCTCCAGTGGCGTAATGAGAAACCACAAGGAGCACGTATAGAGAATATTTACACTACAAATCATAAAGAGTAAATGCCAAGGGAAATTCTGCTTCCCATATCTTCTAATAAATGAGGAGAGACACATTTGAGATGAAAAGGTCACCAAGTTTTAAGAAGGATAAAATGAGTTTTTTATAGACTGTATGAGCTGAAGTGTGGAACTTGCTGCCTTATGACATTACTCAAGGAAACACAGCTGCTACAAGTTCATATGCTTTTGAACAACTCTACTGCAGGAACTACGATAATATCTATGATGTTACACTACCAAGAATAAATGTGTCTTGTTCTAACAGTTGTTGATTTTCAGAGTCCTGTAAAGCACGACACTGAAAAATGCCAGGACTTGCACTTCTACTAAAAATGTTCCCAATCTCTTTTACTGAGTTTAAGAGGATCAAATTGCAGGATACAGACATTACACTTCATGACATTAATGTTTCAACCTGATCTAGTACCTGATCTAGAGGCTGGCTACCCTGCCTGTGCCAGGGGGGTGGAACTTGATGATCCTTGAGGTTCTTTCCCACCCAAGCCATTCTGTGATTCTATGACTGACCTTCCAATCAATCGTATTTTTAATAACTGAGAATAAAGAATATGGGAGATCAATCATTTGGATACAAACCAGGATAAAACACAAAGAGTATTACTGCATTTCTAACCTCAGAACTTATTCACTATATAATTTCTAGTACTCTACTCTTTTGTAAATCAGATGCTTAACAGAACTGTGGAGAATAACTGGCAAGACACGGAAGAAAACATAAAAGCACAATGTCTGGGAAAATAAGAGAAAACTGTGAAATGCAAAAAACACTGAATATTTTCAGAGCAGCAATTTAAATGATCAAATCAATCCTCCTTCCCCCAGTTTTCTATTAACCTACTAAAGTGTTAGTCATTACATTCACAAGCCAGATTAACACATCTGTCACTCTACTGTTCCAAACTCTTCTCAGGAAGTACCTTCTAGTTAACACAGAACTTTCTAGCAAACTATAGTTTCATTATTTTCCAAAACATTTGCAGTATTTTCTGCAAGGCTCCCTACCCTATAGAAATGACGTTGGAGGACAAGCCACCAAATCAGATGCCCTTAGAAAGGATTTCCCATTCTCCTTGGGGAGGGAATGCTATTTGAAATAAACTGCAAAATAAACTCCTTTTACCAATTCATCAGGCTTTCAGAGAAAAGCCACGGGTTCTCAGTTCCACAGAGGGACCATTATCACTTGAAACTTCTCTGCCTGGTGTCTCTGCTACATGGCTTATGCTCCCACAAGGCAGCTCACACCCAAGGTTCACCATTCTTTGTGGCAGCAGACCAAGATAACTCATTCACTGTTGTTCTTGAAAACAAAACTATCTAGAAGAGACACAGCTTTCTCTCTTCCTCTCCTTTCTGAGTCACCATACTCCTTTTTCTGTATGCCTAAGCAGCACTGTAGTGTGGGCCAGCACAACAGCTCTTCCCATATTTTGCTGCTCTTTTTGGTAGTCCAGAAAACAGCCTAATGGAGGAAGGCCCACATGAAAGAAGGCACAGCAGACAAAATAATGTTTCTGGCTCAGAAGGGCAAAAAGTGTTTTTACACATCACAGTCAGTTGGCTAGCCTTTTACAATACTCTAACCTATGACATCTGTTTGCCCATTTGTTTTCTTTAGTTGCATTTCACATTACAAGACAAATTTCAAAGAACTAACAGAACACTAATTTATTAAAGAATTTGCAAGACGCTTAATAAGCACTTTGTGCACAAATACAAACATTGTGTCATTAAAGAACACTGTTTGTGAAACAGAAGACATTGCAAACTGTTCAGTCCTAAGACAGCCTGACATGCATATAATAAAAGGCTCTGTCTTGAACTACGTTCTTCTATTAGCCTGCACTGAGCTGCATGCAGAACCACACTAGCTGAAGGTCTCTTGTAAGAGGCTTTGGAGGTTTGGAAATGCTCTGTGTGTTTAATATCTTACATGCAGCATCCAGGAGAGTCCTGAGTATGGCACTCTTGGAAAGACTCAGTGTAAGGCCGCCCTCTGACGGCAGCAATTCATACAAACAATCCAGGGCACAGCAGGATGGGCTGCACACAATCCCCAAGGAAGAAGAAACATGTCAGAGCTGGTCTCTTATAAGGAGCAGGATGTAGACATCAGAATACATTGCCCTGACCTTTCCACTTGAGGAGGCTAAGTAGTTTCCAACTTGCCTTCTCTGTCAAAATGGCAAAAGCATCATTTCCTCATTGTCTACACACTGCACTGGAATTTCGCTGCACTCTGCTACTGGACTCAGTAGAATTTGGCACTGAAACTGGATTCTGTGTCCCTTCTTTCATTCACTGGCACCTTGTAAACTCTGGCCTCACTGAAGGGCTGTGATAAACATCACAATAGTCTCGTATCTGTCATGGCAGAAAACCAACTTCTAGGCCAATGCAGCAGAATAATGCAGAGCAGTGTGGTGTTATCTTACATCCTCATACATACCTTTTTTTCCTTTTCAACCCCATTTTTCCCCCAGTTAAATCTACCAGGAAGGGCTAATACAGAATTGCTTATTACTGCATATTACACAATGATGTGATACTCAGGTATTGTTGACAAAGACTATACAAATTCAAAAACCACCAGTTTTTCTCTGAGGTATGAACTAATGGAAGGACATTGATTACATATCAATATCACTTAGAAATAGTCATGGTATATATAGCATGAAAATGTATCACAGTATTGCTCTGTTGTGTGCTGCACAGAAAGCACGTTACACAGAACGCTGGACTGTACCTGCATTTGCAACTTCAGCAAATACATATAAACATATTTTGTAAAGATGCCATGTACATGGTTTTTTTGGGGGGAAGGGGGCAGGAGAGAGATGTGAAGTGGACGAAACATACTTAAAAACTAGTTTGAGGACACCATATCCAATTCTGTTGTAAGGTGAGAGCTATTATAGCCGTCATCTCATACCACAATTTAACATCCAACACACTCATGTGGAACTTCTGTGCCATACTTCAGATGTTTACCATTTTGAAGGTTCATATGTATACAGAGCTGAACTGGCAGCACTCATGGAGGCAAGCCTTTCCGAACACCTACTGCAAAGTCAGACAACCTACTCAAAGGATAATTTCTGTACTTCCTGTATTTGTTACTGCAAAGCTGGTGACTATAGGTGGTAGACTGGAGTCAGAATTCAGGAATATATCTATCTCTGCTGCATGTAATTGGGTGTGGAAAAAATAGTATAGCTGACTGCACCTAGAAAGATGACAATCTAGATATTAGTTGTACAGTAAAAATGATGTGCTTTGTATTGCATTACCTTCTCAGTTTCCTTCTGTGTGCATCTGTACACAGTAGATGTAACTGAAATAATGGAGAGGCTAAAGAGGGTGGCTTACCTTGCGTTGTTCCATCTAACCCCATGAGACACTTCATTGCTCTGATGATTTGCTCTGCCACGGGTGGGCACATAGATGTGGCGTACACAGCACTGTGAGAATGAGTTCGTAAGAAGTCCACGAGGCCCTTAGACAAGGGAAACAAGGTATGAATGAACTTGGAGGTGCCCGGACATCAGATCTCCCTTTTAACTAACACAGAGTGAGAAAGTGCAAAAAAAAAGAGGAAGTTTCACCAGCTGATTACTTTCTTGGCTGTTCCCATTAATACACAGCCTGAAGAAACATTAGGCAAGTACAAGCACTTTGCAATTTGAGTGAGGCAATTACAGCTGAAATAAAACAATGTGTATGCACTGAGACATACTATAAAGGAGCCAAAATCATTTAAAGGCCAATGAAGAGCTGCTTTTAAAATACTGTTCAGTCCATCTATGAATGGGAATGAAATAAAACTTACATGACAACAGCACAGTTTCCCTGCCACAAGATCTAACGCAGGAAAAGCAGCCCTACTGGAATCTGTCTTTGGCCATTAGCACACACATTTCTTACAACATAAACTTCCTATTAGTGTGACAGGTCCAGTCATGTTACAGTCTATAGAGCTGCTTTAACATTTCCCTGCCTATCTAAGAGCACAAACCATGATCCTAGCAAAAGCACTCACTGCTGTGCTGTAGGCATGTTTAAAGCACCAGTAACTCCTGAATGCAGGGATTGAGTAGGAATTCAGAACTTGATTGAAACACTACTGTTGAACTACTACTACAACAGTGCAAATTTATGCACATATGTAAATTGCTGAGTAACTGTAATAGCATTGAAAGCTAAATGCATGGTAGTGAGGAAGGAATTATGTCTGCTTGAAACCATGCTCTGATAAAAAAATGCCTCCAGAAAATAAAGATACTGACGCAAATTATTGCCATAGAAGTTGCATAAGTCTATGCTGAAACTCCAGCGCTAGGAAAAAAGATATACTTAACTTTATAGATGTTGTGCATTGCTGATTGCTGCATTGCTACATTGCAATTGTAATCCTCTGGGTTTAACCAAGTAGCTGAGAAAGCTTCTGTGCTCTTACTGACCCAGCAAAAAGAACCCCTGTAAGTTTATGGTTGCACAAATGAAGGTAGGTGAACAGCTGCTGCCAAGGCCCAGAAGCCTGAGGCAAAGCTTAGTGATACACCAGGTGTGAAAAGAGTGACCACTTTCCTTTAAGAAAACTTCCAAGGATTAGATGATGAATTGCTATAGACGTTTTTTTCACAGGTTCAGGCATCCTATCATTTCTAGCTTTATTAGCCAATTTTCCTTTGTAAAAGTCAAATCTTCAGACATAAATTCAGGAAGCAAACAAAAGAAAGTTGATTCTTTATGCATTAGTCTGTTTTAAGATCTCCAGGTGCAAAATCCCCCAAAGATGGTGAGAAATAGATGCTTCACACTTCCTTACATCCCTTTTATTCTACTCAAGTGCTTCCTTATTAACGCTTTCCTGACAATACCCATTTGAGCTGTCTAAATAGGCTATCTCCTCATTCAGTAAACTACTTAAGAAACACATTCATGTATTTTGAGGGTATGAGGAGGGTAAAAAACCAGCAACTACTTGGCATCTCTGCTAAGCAATAAAAATGATGATGTTTCACATTGGCATTGATTACACTCTCTCTTCTCCTACACTCCCTGTTAAAACAAGTTCAGCTCTACTTTCTGTTGACAAGAGGTTGTTTTGTCAATGCATGTTGAGAAATTGAGGTCAAAGATGTTGCTATTGCGAGAGATCCTCAAGTAAATCCTCTTTCTCCATCCTAAAAATGCAGCTATTACAATCCACAACTGTCAGGAATTTTGTATCAGTGGATGAAACTGTGGCTTTAATTTCTCAATCTTGCTCCACACTCTGTTTACAAACATGAATTAGCAAGCAGTCTACATGCAAATTAATGTAGTGAGGTATATTTGGACAACCACAAAGTTTTTAAACTTTTCCAAGACAAACAAAAATCATCAGGGTAGCGTGAAAATACCCAAATTAAGTAAATTATATAACATGAACATGAGACAAAAATAAGAAATTCTGATAGTTTAATGTTCATTTGGGATTCAGAGAAAAGTGGCACTATCTGTAGAATTGTGCTCGTGTAAAGCAGTCTATATGAAAAGATAAAACAGTTTATCGCATGTAATGAGAAAGTATTTTTCCTCCCCTTGATGTTAACATGTTTGTGTTTTCCTTTTACCTTTTTGCCAGCTATGTATCCTCCAGCTGCACCAAAGCTCTTTGTGAATGTTCCCATTAATACGTCAACATCATCAGGATTCATACCAAAGTACTCCACAACTCCTCGTCCTGTTGCTCCCACTGCACCAATGCTGTGAGCTTCGTCCAAATAGAGGTAGGCTTTGTATTTCTTCTTTAAGGAGACTATCTCTGGCAGCTGCACAATGGACCCTTCCATACTGTGGAGAGAATCACAGATGAACAACAAATCCTGTATCTTCTTTTCTCCTTAAAATACTGCCAAAGAAGCACAGACAGTAAGTGCATAGTGCAGTTACCCTATGGAAGATCTTCTGCAAACTCCATTTGTATTTACAGTTCAAAGAAACACTGCAAGCATCTTCCAACAAGTATAAAAGTAAAATAATTCTAGAATTCAAGCAAATAAAAATAGCCAAAAAGTCCTTGAACATTTGCAAATTGCCAACATGCCATAAAAGAGAAAGAAAAGTACTAAGAGAAGGGAAGATATTCACCAAAGCAGCATATTACATTTGACTGCAAAAAATATATATATTGTAATGAATTACAAGGAACTGCTATAATTCACAGTGGCCCTTCATCCATCTACTGCTAACTGTGTCAATATTTCTGGATAATAGATCTACAGAAAAAATCACTCTGGGGCAGAGAAATTGGCTCTAATATGGCCTACATGAAATGCATAGACAGTGCCACGGCTCAGACCAGTCTCGGTCTTCAGAGTGGAGAGAATCAGGGATTAGAAAAGATAATTCAGACCCAATCTTGTTGCTCCTACCAGATGAATGGAAAAATGTTTCAATTCTTTTTCTGTTTATTTTCTTAAGGCCACGTAGGAAACAGAAATATTCTAAACTTCTTGTAACAGTGTATAGAAAGCTCTAGAAACAAGAAAAGGTGATACATCTTCTGTATTGGTAATTACATCAGTAATTTAGAACGCAAGGGAGAGGTCTACAGCAGAATGAAAGCTCTGGGAAATGATGGAAATGCCCTCCAATTCTATAAAGACGAAGCCTCAAAAGTACTGCTGTGAAAACTATTATGTCTTGAAAACCTTTGTGGGACAACTAAAATTGTGCTTGGATATGCTTTGATGCACTCAGCATTCACTTCATAACGAGTTGCACACATTCTCTTCATCAGGTCTAGCGAGCAGGCCTTAAATGCTAAATATTTCCTATCAAACCCAAAGTAAGTGCACTATGCACCCCAAAAAGCAGCACTCTGTGGTACCACCTGCAGCTAAGGCGTATCTAGTTGCATGTGCTACAGCAGTTTCAGGTGAGTAGAACTGTCACGTTTGCTCCCAGAGGGCATGTAAAAATGAGCAGCGTGTTCAATACAACCTCTTGGCAGTTTTGTGATCTTGGGCTTTCAAGGACTCTTTTGACTGTCACTCCAGCTGATGTATGCAGCTGGAAGGTCAGCACCACAAAAGGGAAATGATGTGTTGGCAATGTTTTACAAGTTTTATCTTTTTTTTTTTTGTTCTCCTGAGTAAGCTTGGAAACAGCTTGAAGTTCAGGAGATATTTGTTCCCTGAAATCAGCAGGTGTCCATTAGTTTAAAAGAACAGTACTGGGGAGCAGCCATGGACAAGGATTGCCCGTGCTGGTCAGGTTCAGAGAGCCTGACTGTGTTCACCTGTAGGCACAATTTTGGGTGTCAGGTGACTGCTGACAGATGCTGCCTTTCTGTCTTGCCCAGCCATAGAAGCAGCAGCCACAGGGATGTGTACGGCACCACAGTTTCTTGCAGCAAAGGGCAGACAGGCTTGTGCTGCAAGCTCTTGAAGACCAAGCTCTCCTTCCTGTCACCCCATGCTGGGGACAGAGCCCTCCAGCAGTCAAGCAGCTCTCTGCAGCTCTGGGAGAAGCAATCTGAACAATCACAGCTATTTTCTTAATGAGTACAAGAGCAGAACCCACAGTCCTCACATGACCCACAGTCAAACCATTAGTCAGCTAAAAATTAGACCAAGCTTCTGGGTGTGTGTAGGTATGAAGCATCCCATGTGCTTGGGAGGGCAGTTTTGGCCATCTGGTCAGCTTGCAGGATGGCTAAGTGGTCAGAGAGAAAGTGCAGGGCCAAGGAGCACCGCTGCAGGAAACAAAGAAGCATCCCCCACTGTGTCTTCCAGAAATAGCTGGGGAAGAAAAGAAGAACGATAGTTTTTCCACGTTCACATGGGCATCACATAACAATGGCTCATGGAGATTCAGGTGAGAAAAACAGCTTTTCTCTCCAAAAAGATGATAACAAAAACGGTAAGTTAAAAATACAAAGCTTGATTTACTGTGTATTTGTCATTTTCAGTGCTGAGTTAGTGCTCTTGAGAGACACTGGCTGACATAAACATTACAACAGTTGACAGAGATTCTAACGAGGGCCTGAAGCATCCTTGGGGCAGGTAGAGTGCTGCTGGTTTTGTGTGTATTTCTTGGGCTGCTATTCAAACAGGCCTCAGCCCTCCTGACAGCAGAGATGAGAGCTGTTTCTGTGCTACTCTATTCCTGGATTTGCTTTTGACTTTGGGAGATGGTCTGTGATACAAACACCGCTCCGTTTAGTATTGCTCGGAGATAAAACTCACTTCATGTGTCCAACTGGGTAGTCCAAATGGAAAGTCTACTGAATCCTTCAGTAAATATTGATATCAACTGAGTTTAAACCAGAGAGCTGGAAGTAAATGAACTGCAGTGCCTCTGTCTCAAGTCTGGCTGTGTCACTTGCACAAAACTACTAATCTGTTTCCAGATCTGCTCAGGCACATCTGAAGAGCTGTGTGCTGATGAACAAAAGCTGGGTCTGCCCGTGCCAGACATTAGCATTATGTGGTATTACATCCTGTCTCACAGCAAAAATTATTAGGTTGGCTGTAGGGACATACAGCTTCTAGACTGTAGCTTACCCTCATCTTCCTTGCTCAGAGGGTGGGCAGAAGAGCTTGCTTCAGTATGCACAAAGTTTGAATCTCCTTTCAGACATGAGGACGTAACTCAAAATTTTGGGATCACTGAATTTTGAGGCTTGGTTCAATCCCAACAAGCCACTGAGGGTCTTTCTGAAGCAGCTGATGAATTCTACAGCCAGGTGTGGTGAGAGACAGTATTTGTGCTGGACATCTCTCTTGGAATACAAGCTTGTTCCTGGCAGGATATTCTGAGAAGTGTTGTCCAGTTTATTCTGAAACTTATCAGTAAAAACAGCTTACTACAACCTACCATAGTAATATAGTTTCAATCTTTTTTTTTTCTGTCAGAAAAAGTAATCTACCAACACTCAACCTATTATCTCCTTCATAATTCCATCACTCAACTTCTCTACATACGCACCAGCATTACAGTCCTTTCAACATTTGAAAAATTACCTATTCCCCTTCAGGTTGATTTGTAATTGGGAAATCCCTGCTTTCCTGATCTATTACTCCCAAAATAAATGCATTGCATTTTTTATTTACTTTAATATTATTTTCTTACATAAACCTTGGGCTTTCATACAACAATCTTTGTTTTGTAGTTTTGAGTAATAGTTTAAGGAAACTCCAACAGCCCTCAAGTATAGTGCCATACACTGAAATGACAGAAATGTTGACCTTTAATGCTGGTTCCTGGCCAAGGACATTAAATGTTACCCCACTCTTTTCCAAAGTCCTAACATCCAATCCCAGGAAATAAAAAAATAACCCTAATAAATTTCCTATGGTATTGTTATTGAAACTCAAGGAACTTCTACTGCATGTGAAAAAGAACTGGATAATATCCAGTTAAGCAGAGAGCTGTTTTCTGAGCTGGAAGAAAGTATACTCAAATTAAATCAAAAGCGGGGAAAAATAAATCACTTGTTTTGATGAGTTTCTGGTGCCTTATAAATCCCTCCCTCATCCTCAGCCTACCTGACTCCTAGGTAAATATGTGTGCAAGAGAGCAGAAGTCTACCAGAAACCATGTAAGAGCATAATAACTGATTAATCCTGAACTGGAAATAGTAGAAGCCAAGAAAAACATTAGCTGGATATTTAAATAATAGAAATATGACTGAGCAAGTCACTTTAATTTGTGCGTTGGACACGGCCAAAACTTGTTCATGCATTTTGAACTGAAGATTGATGGCTGGATTGCCTCCCCATTTGGAACAAAAATGAAATATATTTGCTCCTAGTCTATTCTAAGTCAAGAACCAGCTCTCACTAGCAGTTAAATTTACTTCTGATGATTTTTTTTTAAGATGCGAGATACATTAAAAGCAAACAATCATATACTTACTGCTATTTGTTTGACATGTAGCTTGGGTGCTTCCCAAGCCAAAAGGCCAATTCTGCCTTCAGTTGTAACCAAAGAAAATCCGTGGCATATGATTTCAAACACAAGTCTGACTTCCAGAAATGTCCATGTTGGCTAACAACGGCCCTTTTCAAATTTTGCCAGCTAGTAAGTCCAGGCTTACGAGCAATGTAAATACTTTAACATACCCCTAATGCAAACACTAGGCAATTTTTTTTCCATACCATCAACTTTACCTTACTAAGGCTATGGTGTCCCATACAACAATATTTATTTTAAATTGGAAAGCTTAGCATTTCTTTTGCATCTCTGGAAAATGCATTTCTGTATAAATTTGCCAAGTCAAACTTGCAAGTCAGGATATTTTAACTTGGAGAATGGTTACTGACCAAGTTATTTAAATTCTGTATTAGTTGTCCCCAAAGCAAAACTTATTTAACTCCTTTAAAAAAAAAAAAAAAAAGCGCAATATTAACTGTCTTAAGAATGCATTAACAACAGTCTGCCTCCTCTTAAATCCACTAGATGAATGTTCATTTGGCATCTGGCAAATCTTCAAGAGAAATAACATTAGCCAACATAGGGGCTGGAAAATTTTAGTCTATTTCAAAAATCGTGGGCCAAGAAAGGAAAGAACATGCACACAAAAGAAGTAAGTGTATTTCTAGTGTGTATTTCTCCAGCTTTTTCTTTTGCATAGGAAGTATTATTAGCTACGTAGACTACATGGCTGGTGAGTCTGTTCCCAGCAGTGCAATAAGGACAGATCAGCTGTGTGAATGTCGGGTTGGCACTGATGGCAGGGACACAGCACAGAGGGGTGTGGTGGTATCCTCCCTCAAACCAGAGCAGACATGCTTTGCAACCAAACCACAATCTTTAATTTCTGATCAGCTTAGACTACCAAAACAACTAACCAACTAACCTGACTACTGCCAGGGCTGGTTTCCTGTGACAGAATATTAGAGAGCTGAGCTCTGTTTTTGCTTCTGTTTTTCATCTGTTTGTTCATTTACTTTATTTTTTCTCTTTACGCCTTTCACAAGCTTTGACACTCAGGACATGAGTGGTCTTAAAACTGTTATGCTGTTATTCCCTGTCTGCCTGGTATTTCTTTGGCAATCAATAGAAAGTAACAAACCTTTAGGGAAATATAATTAATGTGACTGTGAAATCTCACTGAAAAGCAGTGATTTATGAACCACGTAGGTACCACCACCAACTCCTACCTAAAATAAAAGTTCCCTTTTGGTGCTGCTCTCTGAAGCCTAGAATGTTTTTCTTTAGCATCTTAACAGATAGACTTCTGAAAAGGAAATCTTTCTGAAATCCAACTACAAAAAACAGAGGAAAACAAAGCTTTATACTAAACATACATCTGGAAATGCAGCTGCAAGTACTGCAACTATCAGCTAGTGGGTCTGCCCCAATGTTTAAGTGGATCTATGCCTCACTAATCTATCTCCTCTCTCCCTAATGGTAAATATCCAGAGTAAAGGATTTTAAACTGAAAAATGCTCAGCAGCTGGAGCATTTTCTTAGGCCATGTAACCAAAAGGAGTATTTGTCAGTAAAATGTTGGTGGTCCACTTAATTTCTGCCTGATCAAAGTCCTTAAATTGAGGCTTTCTTTTAGTAGTGCCAAGCTATGTTTATTTGCAGTTTTGCTCTGTTTATTCTAGTTGAAAGGGGACGTTCAGCCTGTTTTGGATCAGCTGATCTGCTGCTGACCTGTTTCAGCTCTGAGTGACAGGTGTTTAGATAAAGACTAATTTGTTCTCTTTGCAGATGGAGAACATTTGCTAAAAAAAAAGTGCTGATGACTATGAAGTTGTAATGACATGAGACTGTAAAATATTTCTTATGAAAAATCTAATCAACTAAACTGTACTAGCAGTCCTCAGTAAAATGGCGTAACCATCTGCCCATGTGTACAGACTACAGTTCAGCCCATGTGAAGTAATCCCTGCATGCAAACTTTACTGTTTTTTTCATAAACCACTTTGCATCCTGTGAACGAACAGTTCTGGCCCCCTTCTCTCTGGTACTACTCCTAACGCTGTCCTCCTTGCTCTCACAGTGCATCTCCTGCTCACACTATATGCTTCTCACTTTGACTTGCTAAATCAACATTCAAAACAACAGAGGATCTCACTGCAGCAAGTTGTGCCAGGGTTCACACAGTCATAATGGAAATTAATGTTTTAACAGGATCACTGAGGATGCTACTTAACCTCCATTCATTTCAGATTTCTTTCAGGTACCAATGTTAGCTTCACTCAACATATGTGTTCTCAGAAGCGATAAAGAGCACTCGTGTTTAAAATGCACATACCTGTAAATGCCTTCCACAAGGATGATAATTTTTCTCCATGCTCTGCGGCTTCGAGGCTGGCCATATATTATTGCATCTCTCAATAACTTCTCAAGACTCTGCATATCTTCATTTAAAAACAATTAAAAGGAGAAAGGAAAATATTAGCACAGATTTTTTTGAAGAATATTGTTTTTCTTTTTTTTTTTCCCATAGAGAAAAAGACAACATTAAAAAAACATATCCTGAAGATAAAATTCCTTTATTAGCAGGCTAGAATCAATAACTGATTTAGTTTGACTGAATGCAATCTTGTGAAAAGTAGTTTCAAAAAGCTGCCCATTATGTACTCTACCTGGGAAATTTCTACAGATCTTGACATATGTTTTTATTTAAAGGGAAAATGTAACCATTTTGCTTTAGTACTGATGCTAATTGCCACCAGTTCTATATGGGCTGTTGATATTCATAACTTCTCAAGTCTTTTGAATGAAGAACCTTCATTTGCTTCCCAGCACCATAAAGGGCTTGTGAATCACAGGAACTGCTTCAGCAAAGGCTTGGATGAGGCTGCATGAAGCACATCAGGATGACAGCAAGAGAAATCCTTGCCTTCTCAGGAAGGAATGCTAGTGAAAGACTGCTGATGAGGGAGGGAGAGACAAATGGATACAAACACATAGCGTGGGTACTCTCAGTTGTTGCCAAAATGCTTGGAAATGCAGAACTGTGATACAAGGAGGCTTGGAACAATGTTAGAAACTTAGAAGATCTGAGCGTGGGTCATCTAATAAAATGCTGAAGGGAAAGGCACTGATGTTTTGAAAAACATAGAAGAGGCTAAAAAATAATAATTAAAAAAAAATCAAAGGAACAAGAGTCGGATCAAAATATAACACTCAGTGCAGAGCTGAAATGAGGGTTCTGAATGAAGTCTCTCCAGAATCAATTACTCTGGTACTTTTTGGAAATCCAAACTGACACTTCAGAATGTTTCCAAATGACATCTCAAATAACATCAAATAACAGAGACTCATAATACCCCAAGGAATGCTACAGATGAGGACAAATTGTGGGGGCTGGGAAAATCAGTGGCTTTTTTTTTTTTTTTCCACAATATAACACCACTTCTTGAGTAATGTATCTTAATGCTGTTATTTTTGGCTGAAATGTTACAAAACTAATCTTTAATTCTCCCAGATGAGGCAAATACACCTTACCTATATTGATGTTGGTCTATAGTTTTGTTTCTGCCTGACTGTAAGCAAGCTGTTTGTACAGCACTTGTCCATCATGAATAACCAGTGATCTGAGAGATCACCAGGATAATGATCTAGATCGTTGTACCCTGGTACTTTGCCCTTTGCTGGGGTGCTGATTTCAGTGACAGATTTCTCAGGAACACCTTTGCCACTCTGCACCTTATAGCCTAATCTCTTGACCTAACAAGACCTTGCTATATCTTACAAAACACACCTGCATGATGAGTGGCCTCTTATTTCAACCGTGTAATCATTTGTACAGCTGGATGAGCTCCCAGATGGAAATGCTTTTATGAGTATTGCAATGCAGATAGCACAGTTTCCACTAGGTGGCAATAAAGGGAATAAAAGTTCCATGCTGCTTTACAAAGTGAACGTATGACCCAGCTAAACATGTTTCATAAAAGACACTTGCTCACCTTCTCTTCTGAATAGATAAAATCTGGAAATCCTTTCTGGTTCTGAGAATTAAAGGGGTCCAAAGGATTACAGAAAGCTCAGGAGTTACAGAAATGAGGTAAGATTTTCAGTCACTAAAAGTGAAGTTTTCTCCACTGAATTTGTCTTTTTCATCAAAATGCCTGTAGGACTTTTGAAACTTCTCTCTGAATCACACAGAGTGAGCTTAATTCAGCATTCTTCTCAGTCCATATTGGGGCTAGACTTTGGGAAAGTTAGTTTGCCAAACTTCTGAACTGAAATTGTGGCTAGAAAGTTCAGTTGTTTTAACACGTCCACAGGGAAAGAAAGAGGAGAGGACAGAGAAGTAAGTAATGTATATAGCTTTTTAAAGAGCTTGTTTTATAAAAACATGGATGTGAAGAGATCCCATCCAATCTAGTGTGGAAGATGAGACTGCAAAGGGAAGAACATCTCCAAGTCAGGAGATGCCTGACTTCCTGTGTGATAGTCCTGCTTGAGTTCAGGCTGAGGACATGCTGCTCAATGGAACAGGCTATCTCATTTTGCTTTTGATGTCTCATTCTGAAAAACATGTAGGGATGACTCTCAAGCCTGCCAACATATAATTTGCTTGGATGCAAATAGATTTTACTGAACATTTCACTCTTGTTTGCAGGAAGGAAATTGGAAGGTGGAGAAAATCTATTACCTTTAATCTCTCCCCCTAGAAAACTGCTTCCCTTTTTCAAAGTAAAGATGCAGTGCTTACTGTGTTGGGACCTTCCAGACAGTGGGATATATTGAATGTCAGGAAATAAACCAGTGCAACCCCAGCTGACTTTCTTCTATCAAATTATTTGACCATTAAATATAGTTAGATTGTGAAACACTAGGGCAGGGAAATGAGTTGCACAAGTCCATCTTGAATAACCAGTTATGAGGAAAATAACTGTCCTTCCTTGTTTGACCATCACTGGCCCTGGCTCTTCAGTGGTAGAGGCAAACAACTGTTTGCCAGGCCCAGGAGGCGGGTGGCTGTAGGAAGTTCACTCGGTTAATTACTCAAAGCATAATCAAATTCATCCTTGCCTCAGTTCCCGACTTATCCCTGAAATATTGTCTGAATTTAGAAGCAAAGTTTTCCTAAGCAGGCACAGCGGATCACCTGCATTTTTAGAATTTAATATGAAATTGCATAATCCTTGTTTGGGCTCCGTGAGAGTTACTTCAATGGAAATACCACCACAAATTGCTGCTGGGTGAAAGCGAGCCTGGACCTAGCAGGCAGCAGTGTGTCATGCTGCCTTGCAGTGTAGGTGGGACTCGGGTTCCCGCAGGGCCCTGCCTTCCCACAGACATGCTGTGCCTCCCTGCAGGGAGACACGGAGTCTCCACCCCTCGTCCCCACATCGCAGTGCTGAGGACATCATCATCATTCTTTTGCGTGGGCTGAAATCCTCCTGCATGATGTCAACTGAATACATTTAATTAAAATGAAAAGGCTACTGCTACCCTTATCACAATCCTTTCCTCCGATTTACATCTGCCATTCTTATTTTCAGTTTCTCAGTTTGCCTTCTTGTGCAGATTCATACAGCTGCCTGCCCCTTCCCACTCTGTCCTGCACACAACCAGCCCTTTCCCCTTGTGGGCTCCTTTCCTGGTCACTGTCCTGTTGTAGGTGACAAAGTGCCTAGCTCTGATCCTATCCGTCCTTGCAAATCCCTGTAGCAAAGGGAAACCACTACAAGGGTTTCATTCATCCAAACATTACTTGTAGGACTGTAAAAGACAATTTTCATTCTAGTGAAAAACTAGACTTTGAGAATTTTCTTCCCTGGCAGAGCTCTCAATAGCAAGTGTGTCCTTGGAGGACTTTCCCTAAAATCACAGCTTGTTTTTTTTTTTTTTTTTTTAAATGTCAGAGGATGGGGAAGGGGAGTAGTGGTTGCTGCAGCTGTCATACAACCAAAGACAGCTCTCTCTATCCCCCAAGAAATATGTAGCTGAGAGTAAGTGAAGAGCTCATGAAAACCTCCAGCTCACACCTGGCAAGCCAGACACGGCTTTCTCAAATCAGGGAGGGCAAATGCAGACACAGCATGCTCAGAGCAGGATATTCCAGCCTTCTCACTGTGGCAGCGTCTGTATGTGTCACAGGGAAATACATGCTGAACTGGATTAGGCTGAGGTCAACTTATCTAGTGTAATAATCTTGTCTCTGATAGTAGCCAGAGGCTTCAAACAGGACAAAGCCTTAGTGGGTAAAGTGGCTTTCATCCTGCTCTGTAAGAGCTTGAAAAGTGCCTTCCCCTCTGAAATCCATGGACCACTTATACCTCTGTAAGAAAAAAAAACCCAAAAACTAATGAACCACCTCATATAAGCCACCGCAACACAGAAATTTTTCACTATTTCTTACCTGTTTGTTTTATTTGCTTACTTTCTTGAAGGCACACACATCTATTTTTATACTTCTTTCTTTTTCCCCTAGAGAATACATTTGCACAGAAGTATGAAGGCCCTGTGCTATTCTTTCAGTGTGAACTACAACCACTCCAGATAGCTGAATTTTCTCTACAAGGTCTCCTTGTGGCACACATATTCCAACTCCAAAGCTCTAATTTGACTGAGTGGACCAAGAAATGCCATAACTGGAATAACAGCAGCACACCTGTAGTCCAAACAGGAAACATTTTGTACGGAAACCCAGAGAGCTCACGCCTGCATGACACACATTTGTCATCAACCACCTGATCTCTGAGAACCAAAAATACCCCTCTCTGTTTTCACAACACTCTTACAAGGTGTGTGAGGAGGAGCTGGGAATGTCCCACAGTGATCCTCACTTTTCAGATGTGGATTCAAGCACCAGATTAGAGGCCAGATTTTCATCTACTTGGTTGTGTCTTGCAATTCCCTGCCTTCTTCATAGTATCACTTACTCTGATTGCATGGTGAAGTGCAAGTCCCTTGCAATGAAGGGAACTGGATTTTTTTCCCTGTGGCTTGACTTACATGTGTAGTCATGACATTCACACAGATTGCTCAAGCAATTGCAAATCTAACCCTGAAAATGTGACGGCAATTTAGTTGCTTGATGCTATGTGGGAAAAATGCAGTAGAACTAGAAAGAGCAAACAAATCCTAACTCTTGTTAGGACAGCACCTAACAGCACCTTCTTATATGAGCAAATATGAACAGAATCTATCTGGATGTAGTCAGGAACAAACTGATCCATTCACTGAATGATGCTATCTTATGCTCTCATCTCACACCACTGTAAGACCCAGAATTGCTGTGATGGAAAACCCTTGATAAAATCACAAGCTGATGAATAGTTAGATGTTTGCTTTCGCTTTTCAAGTATTACTGGAAGAGCCAAGGGATTTGGTCAAATACTTAGCCAAGAAAAAGGTAGGAGGTTTTGAAAAAGGGCTTTAAAGTATATTACATTAATAAAAAATCATCTTAGAAACAGAAAAAGAACAAAGCCAGTACTGCCACAGAGGCAGGAAGATGTCTTCATCTCATGCCCTTCTCCCTCTGTACACTGGCTGTTAGGCCGTGCTGCTGGAACCACTACATTTCAAGGGTGTAAGAGCCTCTCTTTTCTAGCTTCCTACATAGGTCACTGCCCAGGAAGTGTCAACATGGTGCCCACATCACAGCAGGGGAGATGGAAGGCAGATACTTTATGGGCAAGCGGGAACAATTTCAGCCCATTAAAAACACTACTGCGTAAATTTAAGAGTGCTCAGGTCTATGCTCATATTTAGGGTTTTGATATCAGGCCAGATAAAATTATTCTTGGTCATTCTACGTCTGGAAAGGCACCCCATAATGCAAACTATTAACCTCATCAATTCCAACTTACATCTAGTCAGGCTTAAAGTTCCTACTATTAGGTTAAGAAATATTATCCTAAAAGAGAATTATTTCTGCTGCCAGAAGGGCTCTGCAGAAGAATATGTTGAGAATAAACAGAAAGATAAAGAAAATGGATAAATGAGTATTTATTTTTAAGCAATGAGCATCTTAGTGATGTGGCAGGTAACTGAAAGATCACTTCTGTACCTCAATTTGTTTTCACTGGCAACACAATCTAAGTGTCATTGAGTGAGGCTGGGAAAAGGCTGGGCGATGTAGGGGATAAATTTTAGAAGACCAAAGCTTCCCTTCTTGCTGTGTGAATGTCGTGAATGGGAGGTCTCAGACATTACAATGACTGTCTTCAGAAAACAGATGAGCTGTGATTCACCAGCTGGCCTCACCTGACTGCTGTGCTCTTCTTGAGGGTTGTGCTATCCTGCTGTCACCTGCTGCTAAGGTTTGACTAGGCTGGGTATGTTCACATGTGCCTCAGCAACAGCAGTGACTACAGGCTATGCTCATTCTTGGAAGGTTATGTTTCACCATACCTCCAGTGAAAGAGCCTGGTGCAAATCAGGATGAGCTGTATGAGCAAGTAACACAAGGCTCTTAATTTTGATCCTTTTAATAAGTAGCAATAACAGTAATAATAAACAGTAATAACCATAAACCCTAACCCCACTCTTCAGAGCATATTCCTGGGACCCTGGCAGAACAAAGACTAGCAACATTGCTAGTGAGAGCCACAGGAAGGAAACGTAGGCCAGGTGTTTTTGGTGACAGGAATCAAGTATTCTCCTAAATTTCTCTCACCTAGATGGCATGTAAGTATATGCCTGTGTATTTATCTCAACCCAAGCCTGTATATGCCTGCCTGTTTACAAGGAAGGGATTGATCATCCACAGTAAGGATGCAGGGCACATTCTTATATCCAAACAAAAATGGATTTACAGATCCGCATCTCATTTTTTGCTCTATTATTCACTTTAAGGTTTGAAAGCCTTCTCATACACTTTCACAGTGCAATGGTTTTGTCAAAAAAGGAGGGTTTTTTTAAGACTTAAGATTTATGCTTAGGAGAAGCATAAATGTTTAACAATTCTATCAGCTCTTGAAAAACTACTCAGAATTTTTTGGCTGAAAATTGCAATGCTTAGGAAAGCCACCCACTGACTGAAATAGAATCTAATTAACTTTTGTAAGAATATTACACATAATTAACATAATATATAGAGATTTCTTCTTTGCTAACTAATAAGTGTAATTATTTACTTTTGCATAATGACAAAGAGATCCAGTATTGCAGATTATACACTTTGAAATAAAATGATTTTCACTCTTATGGATATAGCTATGTAATAACTTTTGGAAGATGAATGTACATAAGTAACAGCTATAAATAGCAGCTTTTAGTCTTTTCTGTAAAATATTTAGATCATGATTTTTTTTTTCATAGAACACAGTTTCCTATTATGTTTTTGAAAATAATTTTTCTGTAATAGGTTGGAAAACGGAGTGGAGAGATTTACAGTGTTGAGAAAACACCATAGAAAGGGAAGTTACTGGCACACAGCTTTCATTTGCACTATATTCAAGAAGTAGCTGCTTCAGAAAATACACTATTGCTTTGCTAAATTGTTACATAATTATTCCTCATTTTGATAATCATTTATTGTAACTGCACGAAACATTCACACCTCACTCTTCTTCCAGTGCCTTTTCTATACATACATAACCAAGGAAGTCAAAGCCAAATTATGTATGTTCTAGGCAGTTTAAAAAGAGGCTGATGTAAGCAACAAGGAATGTGTAAAGCGTCTGCTTCCCCAAGATGGAATCTAATAGCAAAAAGGTAATTTCATAATCTGCTGCCTGATTTGAAATTATACTTCGACCCTCCTACATAGAAGGCATGTATCACAACAGTGGTGCTACTGCCTGGAATCCCTTTTGTTTTCTTTAGTGTAGGGCAATCCTAGGTCTAACAGTATTAGTGTGACTTAACACAGCTTCAAAGGGGATGAGCCAACTCATGGCAGTGGACAAACCTGGCTCTGCATTTAGGAGTGAGAATGAAATGCACATTAAGCCCTAATCCTTTTCGGAATGGGATTCAGATTTACTCTTCCGCACTTTGCAGGATAATTGTTCCAGCCTCTCAACAAAGAGCCCTAGCAAAGCCTTTGGCACACTAATATTGTCCAGGTGATGCCAAGAGTCAAACTCTTTAAATGATCATTGATTTCTCTATGTGAAATGACACACATAAGTCCCCACTCCATGGAAAGGGGGGAGGTAGAGGATATTGAATTTTTCTATGACAGTGAATGATCTCAAAAAGGCAAAACATTTGACTACCTGATGCTGAAATTAACATTTCCTAATGTTCTTCAAGTGTTAACTTAAGGTGCAAAGGAACCTTTCTTTCACATCAAGTAATATGATATGCATAATGGCTTAATTCCCTTGTTTGTAAGCACAGCTGTGACAGTACTAACACAGACTGACATTTTGGGCACCTGCATATAGACAGAGGTGAGAAGAATTGTCTGGGAGGATAAGAAACACAACTGATCTAACAAAACAAATAAGCACTTGCCTAACTGAAAAGAACCCCCCAAACACAAGCTAGAAGTTTAGGTTATGTGTCCCCTTAATTCATTTCCTATACTTGTATTATACTACTCTTGGATGGATCCAGAGAGAGCAATGCTGTGTACTTCATTTCAGGTGAAACTGAGCATCCTACAAAGACAGTCTTGCTCAATTATCATTTCCATTGCAATCATTCCCCAATACACATCCTCTTTTCTCCAAAGCAAAAGGCACATAAATGTATTTCTGCACATGATTTTAAAAGCTATTAAAATTTCCTCTTTGCTGATGATGGGAGGTGACAGCTGTACCTGAAATGGATTGTATGATTTGACTTCTGCTTAAAAACGTGGACAAGATGATCCGAAGGATATTCTGGTTCTCTTTCACAAAGTGCAGGGGATTCTAGTTGGGAGCAGGCTAGTACAGCAGCCATGCCTAGAGTATCTACATGGAAGTGGGCCAAGTTGGGGCATCTTACTGTCTAATCTATGAATAATTACTTCTGTATAAACATTCTGGTTCACATGATCATTAACTCTTACATGATCTTCAGAAAATACTTCTTGTCCAAATTATGAATAGATATTAATTGCAACACCATCTTATATTATAATTATAGCATGTCTTTCATTTCAAGAGATCCTTAGGCCTGTTACAGCATATACATAATTCATTTTTGCTCACCTCAGGGCTGAACACAACACAATAATAGAAGGGACTGTATTAGTTATTAATAAAGGTAGTCAGAGCTCTTTTTTTCATTCCCCACCATTCTCTAACTTCTTAATCTCTGTTGCAATCACTGCCTGGTGGCTGCTGTGGTGATAAAAAAGGAAATTTGCAAAGTAAAATAAAGGAAAAGAACAAACTCTTGTCATCAAAGCCAATCACAATGTCCCTGACTGTGACCACAGCATCATTAACTAAATAAAAGTTAAAAAGCATGAGTATTTTAGAAGATAATTATATGATTGCAAAGTTAATGTTTGGCATTAGTATGATTTCTATACTAAAATCATACCTCAAAGATTATGTGGGATGGTTATCTTAATGTAATCATCTGCATTTTGGTATTTCCCCACCTGGGAATTTGGAGAGACAGTTTCAAAGGTACACCATGTTAATGTAACTCCGCTAGAAACAGAGGCAGGAAATATAGATTATATTTTTCTAAGTATATTTGTACTGTTTTGCTATGGTGACAATAACAAAACCTTTTCAGCAGCACACATTCAGCATGTCAAAGAGACAGCAAGGAGGTTAAGTCTTGAGATTTCAAATCATGTCTCTCAGTACAACATCTAAATGTTTCTTGAACATCTCCAGGGTTGGTGACTCCACCACCTCCCTGGGCAGCCCATTCCAGTGCTTGACCACTCTTTTGGAGAAATATCTCCTAATGTCCAACCTGCATCTTCCCTGGCGCAACTTGAGGCCCTTCCCTCTCCTTGCACTACTAGTTACATGGGAGAAGAGGCTGACCCCTACCTCACTACAACCTCCCCTCAGGCATTTGTAGAAAGCGATAAGGTCACTCCTGAGCCTCCTCTTCTGCACTCTGAACAATCCCAGCTCTCTCAGCTGCTCCTTACAAGGCTTGTGCAACAGACCCTCACAGCTTTGTTGCCCTTCTCTGAACACCTTCAAAAATGAAGGTCCAACCTGATAATCCAGACCTTGCACAACAGCAAATACAATCTCATACTGCCAATTTCTCCCCCATCTGAGATCAGTCAGTGTTGAACAGTTAATCCTTGTGCCTGGATAAAAACTTGATCTGGGAATTAAAAAAAAAAAGCATGCACTAAAAGGGAGCACTCCTGCCTTAGAGACAGACATGTTCACATCTCAAAACATTTCCAACTTCAATACTCACTATTATGTTTGAAGATTCTAATAGTAGCACCTGAAAGCCTTGCACCAAGAACGAGAGAAGTGTGGTTCAATTCATCACTTAGAATGAGGCAACCCTGTGGAGAAGGAGTACAGTAAGCATTTGCATAAAGTGGGAGGCTGTTTGCAACTGTGTGTGAGTGTTTCAACATACAGTTATGTCTATATATACATAAATACATACATAAATACAGCAATGCATCAATTAATGTTACACGTGAATTGGAATTTCTGAAGGAACTACAGCAAAGACAGGCAGAAACAAAATTCAGATTCTCAGAGATTCTCAGGAAGTGCATGAGATTAACATAAGGAAGACTGATACTGAAACTGAACTAAAATCTGCAGTTTGATAATTGAAATAAGATCAGGATGGATTGAGGCTGCCATTAAGATTCAAGTAGAGCCAAGCACTAGGCACAATCTTACTCTTTCTCTGGTAAATTCATATACAATTCATCTGCAGTATATGTTTCACTGATAAACTCAGTTGAAAACTTTCTTTATAGAATTAAAAAAATGGAGGAAAAACAATTTTGTGTGCTATATCAACAAGAGCCAAGATTCACAGTTGAATTCAAGCTGAAGCCCTAATTTAGCTCTGTCTTCTATTGTATATATTACGTTGTGACATTTCACTATCCAGTACAAGGATGACACAGTATTAGCTAAATAAATATTATTAGGAAAAATGGACTGTGCCTAGGACTGGAGGTATCCACACAATTCTGCTTAAAGACTGATATAACAGTAAGAGTTAGATATGTGCATCGTGACAAGATAATATAGATTTAATTATAAGGAAAATTTAGGAATAAATCTCCCAAATATAGGACAACTACACAATATCTGCAATACATAACACCTTATAACAATATGTAATATTAGAATATACTAAGTAGTTATATTCTACACAATACAGTAATAACTTCATGTCATTTGTACCTAAATATCCCACCTCTAACAAAGGCCTGCGTCTCCACATGAGGCCAGCTAACTAAGGGATAAACATTTTAGAGCTAAGTGAGAGAAAATTATTTTATGCTGCTGTGCATGTCTGCAATTTCATAAATTTATCTCTATTAGTTTTTAACTGTTTCTTTGGACATTTCTGGACTATTTTTCCAGCACCATAGTAGAAGTTCATATCCTCAGTGGCTGAACATTTACTCCAGCCCAATCATTGCATACATTTAAGTTAGAAATCGCTTGTAAAAGCTGGATTCTTTCTCAATAGTGAGGAAATTACTTCACCTCTAGCCAGGTTCTTTAGAAGAAATCTTGAACATACACCATGTGGTGAATTCATTCCACCTCCATCAAAGGGGAAATAATGTTTCGCATTTGCCTGAATTGGAGAGAACAATTTTCCTAGCTAACATCCTGGTATATGAACAAGTTGGAGCTCGTGATGAATGGGATTATATATTTTCATGTCTTTGCATCGTAGTACTCCAATGATACTCCAAATTAGAGATGAGATTCCTTCAGAATCAAACAAGAACCAAACTTTTGTCACACGGCCTCATCTTTAGACTTGCATTTGCTGCCAGCCTTCTTTGCAAGGGCTGGCCAAAGATCCATTCATCAGAAATGCTGAAAGCTGTTTTGCCTTTCTGATATCAAGCTTTTTCCTTCAACTGAGCCTTTCCATTTAATACATGCTCAGAATACTGCAACAGTTGTTAAAACAACTAACAAACAATAGTTCTGTGTGTTTCATCAGGAAGTACTCACCTTTCCAACAAGTGCTGGAATATTCATTGAATTTGTTGCAAATCCCATGCCGAACACCATAGCATCTTCCACACCTAGGAACTTGGCCACAAGATTCTCTAGTTCTACATGCTTGTCTAGGGTCCCTGCAGAAACAAACACAGGCAATCTTATTAGACTGTGAAAATTTTAATTCTAAGGACATAAAACATTCGAAAGCACAAGTCAGGCAATCTGTCATTAAGCCAAATTGCTTTTTTTTTGTCTTTTTTTTTTTTTTTTTTTAGTTCTATTGAAGTTTTTCCATTTCTATCTAGTATCCTGTATGTGTGGGATAAAACAAGAAAAAGGAAGGATGCAAATCAGCTATAACTAATGCTAGCAAATACTGTTGCTGTTAAAATAGGAAAAACTAAGTTTCTGTTTCCCATAGCAACAACTTTTGATGTAGATTATCCTGAAGAGTCATTTCTTGCTTCTGCCTTTGCTAGTACTACCCTGGTGAGGAACGAGACAACCTTTTTATGTGTAGGACAAACATGTTAGGCACTTTTTAGTTCTTTCTGAATGAGAAAGCAGATGACAACAACAAAGTTCTTCAGTTTTTCTCCTGAATGTCTGTATGTATGAGTACAAAATCCTTAATTATAATATTTTATGGACTGACAAATGAAAGCTTTCTCCATCCTGTTAGACTATGGATAATAGAAGTTAAGCTAAGCTCCACTACTGTTAACTATGTTCTTTCCTCCCCCGCATCAGCCAAACTTAAGTGCCAAGGCTACACTAAGAGCCTTCCTTACTGGAAGTAATTTGTCTAATATTACTATCAGGAGTCTCCAAACAAATAAGGTGCTCCAGATGAACAACAAAAGCAATATCTTTGTTCACTAAGTCACAAAGGAGAACAACAAAACACAAAAGAGGATAAACAAAAGAGTAGTGTTAAGAGATGACAAATAACTTTGAACAGTAATAAATCATCTCTATTTGCCAACTCTCTAGTTTTTGTTTTCCTCGCTGTGCACTGTGTACCAAGGCTGAGGGAATTCTTACAAGATGATCTGTGGGGAAGAAAAGAGAATAAGCTGTGGCTTCTAACAGTATTTCCCCTATGAATAAGGCTCCAAGCAGAGAACAGAAGAAAAAAATCAAAGTTTACCTCATGCCTTACTTGAGTTGCACATACTGATGTCACAATAATATAGGCAACGTGGATTACAATTAACTGGAACAGGAATTCAGTGTTTAGGGTGATAGGCAAAGGGCAAAAAAATGGAAGAAAGCAGAAGTTTGGCTAGAGTGTCCTGACAATGATTTTGAGTGAGGAAGATGATCTTATCCTTACCATGGAGGTAAGCTCATTAAAAATAAAAAGAAATCAAAATGACAATACAGTTTTAGCAGCAGCACTAACTCAGCTGTTGCAGTGAGGTAGTTCTTTTGTTAGTTCTTTTATATAGAACTATTTTACATTATATTCACTAAATATCTTGAATCTCCAGTAGATGTGAGTAGACTGTGCATGAAAGTCTTGGAGGGCAGCTACTTTTTTGCATTTGTAGATTCCAAGATGCACACGGATACATGCTAGCCTTGAATACAACTTAGCAGCTCAGCTCCGTGAAATACAAAAACAGTATTTCAGATTGAGCTGCCAGCTGGACAGGTCAAAATAGCATATGTGAAGCTCCTTCTTTTGACTTGTAAGCCCAATAGGTCTTGGTATATTTCCATAGTTATCTCTGTGTTGGTTTTTTTGTTTTGTTTTTTGTTTTCAGTCTTGAGCTTGGTTACAGCAGTCATTGATATCTGAGATATCTAGTCAATTGCCACAGTGCTCCTTGCAGATATTATTTTGTCACTTCACTGCTATGGTCACATACAGAGAAGATGTAGTCTGAAAAGAAAGCTTGAAGCCAACCACATTATTGTGACAGACTGAATTAGGTTTGTGAAAGCACAAGAAAAAAAATCAGCATTTGCTTTGCAAGGCAGTGATTTTAAAACATGAAAACATTGTCCCTGACTCTTCCAGGAGTAAATCTTACACTGCTGGGGTGGAGTTAGTTAAATTGTATTTTCAGATTGCAATGTAGGTATTCTGTTTTTGCAAATAAGAAGAGCCTGACCCATGACAAATTATTCTCTTCAAGCATCTATTAGATAGGAATACCACACTTTTGACCCTTTTCAAATGACTTTATGATGATGAAGAATCAGATCTCTGAAAGTAACCTATTCTTTCTTATCTACTAATCCTAACAGTGAATGTGGATGATGATGCATATCACTATTGCTTACAAATACTCGCCTGAAAATTAGAATCAATAAGGATTTGTTTTGCAAAACCAAAACCTGAACAGCAAGTATTTGCAATATCATCCCTGGGGTTTTATTACTTGAATTATAATGGCAATATGGTAGGTGGTAGGCGAGGTGTCAGAGGAGCAATATGATACACATCAGTACTGACAGTGGGAGGTTAGTGACAGCCATATGTATTAGGAAGAGTAGAATTGATAAAGCACACTAGCTTGTACTTTCTCAACTTCACAGTAAGATGGGTATTTATTTAAAGAGTGTTGTGATTATTTAACCTCATCAGAAGATTTCTCCAGCATGGATCAATCTGTAGGCAAAGTATAAACCACAGTTACATCACAACACTTTCTGCTGGTGGGAAAAAAAGGAATAGTAAATAACAAATCCCCTCCTTATCAAATGCTGACCCAGTTTTCTTCCTTAGCTGCATTCTGGGGACAGGGAACATGAAGTAATCTTTGTCGTGGCAGACTTTCATAGACTTAGCCACATTGTTGTCAGAGTCTTGTCAGTCTACTAGATACACAAAGCTTGAAAATTCCAACAAACCATGCAGTTTAGTTTTGACACTTCCTTCAGCTTAGACAAAATGGGTAATGACACTGTTTGCCCAACGAAGTCTTTTAGGTTCTTACATGCTAATGACATATACTGATTGAAATGCAAACATTGGCAACAATGTCTTTTATTGTTAATTTTAAATTTTGAAAGGAATAAAGGAAAATACCTGTTTGCTTCAAGTAAAACCAAAGCTAGATGAGTAAACTGATACAAACAACAAGCAACTGAAAGAAAAAAACCTGATTTTTGTAAAAGTGACTTCCACAACAACTGGTGATCTTGATGTAACTTGCCAATGTGAGTAAGAACCATCACTCTGAGTAAATGATGGTTTGTCAGAGGTACTTTTAAACTGGGTGTGGAACAAAATAAGTCACCTGAAGATCCCTGCCCAATTGGAAACTTAAGGTCACCAACTCTATTAAGATGTTTGTCAGAGATAATACTACTGAGACACATACACACTTTTAGAAAGGAATATTAAATGAGTGATTACTAGAAGGATGAAGAAAGAAAAGATGTAGAAACTGTACTGCTTTTTCGTGTCACTCTACAAGAATGGATGATCCAGATGGTACCACAGTCCCACTGAGTCTGCAAGAGGAGCAAAGCCTAAACTCCTACCGCGATACATAGTGATCAAAAAGAGGGAGAGAATCACATAGTAATGTCATGCAGATGCCTCATTTAACACTGCATGTGCGCAAAAGAGCCTCTAAACAAGTGGGTTTTGAGGAAGCATTTGAATAAAGGAAATGTTCATGCTTTCTAAATGTTGCCATCTGCTGACAGGACTTTCAAAGAAAAAAAAAATACTTCAGGTATCACAGATTTAATAACATACCCATGTTATTTAATGATTCTCAGAAAAGAGTAGGTGGATTTTTACAAAACTTCCAGTTTAGTTTGGATTGTCTAGTTTTGTTTGATTTTGTTCCCTTTATAAAACTACACAGCTAAAATTTACAGCTGAATCCAAGCCTTAATAACATCAAGGCATGGATGCAGCATCTTAGGGGGGGGTATAAGAAAGAAGGGGACAGACTGTTTAGCAGTGTCTGTTGGGACAGGACAAGGGGAAATGATTTCAAACTAAAAGCAGACAGATTTAGATTGGACATAAGGAAGAAGATTTTTTTACAGACAGGGTTGGGAGACACTGGAACAGGTAGCCCAGAGACGTGGTGGATGATGTCCCATCCCTCAAGACATCCAAGGTCAGGTTGGACAGGGCTCTGAGTAGGTATTTCTGATCATTGCAGGGCAGATGTCTAAATGACCTTTAAAGGTTATATGATTATATGATTTTAAGTGTTTAAATATCTGTATGTATATAGAGAATTTGGAATATATTGGTAAGTTAGCATGTATATACTTGAGATCTTTTATGTTTTACACTGTTTACTTCTGACACCTCGTTTAATCTGTCAGAAGTCGAGTTGTTTGGAGGTTTTTGATCATAAGTTGGATAAGTTATTTGTGAGAGGCTAGGCTAAAAAGGGAAAACAATGTTAGCAGAAGATGGAAAGAAGGAAAATTCCTCTCATTAACTGCTTCCTGATGTATGCTCTGTCCTATCAGAAAGCCAAGTTTGCAAAATAGACATACATAGTTTTTGTTTATGCAACTGTATTTTCTTTCCTTAAGCTCTCATTTAGAAACTTACAGGAACTTTAACACTTTCTCCAAGAACCGTCTAGTTATTTGTTCACAGTTTAAAATGGCCCTTGCCCTTATTAAAGCTACAAATTGATATAAAAAATTGAAAGACAAATTACTATTTTTTATCTTCTCAAATCTGCTGCTAGAAGTTCATATTAGGCCTTAAAACCTAGCAGAAGGATATGAAGAGGATGAAGTTACTTTTGCAATTTAATTGTTGGCACATTTTCAGATTTGCTTTTTAGCAATCATATAATCAAATAACAAAAATCCTCAAAAAACAAAAATTTATACAATCAGTTCAAGGTAGGCATTAAAAGATAAGTTCCCCACCATGCTCTCCAGAATGAATCATTCTGCAAGTGTTCTGTGCAGGCTCCGTCTTGTCTTTTGGTCCAAGACATAATGACAGGAGAAGGATTTCAAAAGGGCAGGAATCCTGCCTGGTTGCTTAAATAGCACTAATGATATGCTTGCTCCTGTTACTCATTTATGTAATCTCCATAAGGAATAATGGTGTGCTAAGATAAATAGAGCACTGGAATTACTAGCTCTCATACAGCATCCCTGTCACCACCTCAGTGCTAAGTCTGGGAGTGTTTAGAGCATGATAATCTGCTTTATTTCATTAAAAACAAAAAACCCAACAACAACAACAAAAACCAACACAAATGTTACTATCTTCTGCAACTGGCAAAGTGGGATACAGCATTAAATAATAATTTTGCATATATTTGTATAATTCTCCCTTGCTAATTTTATGTTACATTGCTTAGAAAAGGCTGACTATAAACATGAGAATGATACAATGTGCTTAGAGAAAAGGCTTGTCAGCCTGTATCCAGCAACAGCCAACTCCCATGCTAGCCATAAAAATGCACCAATTTGCTTGGCAGAAAAAGATTTCACATTTATATAGAAGGAAGGCACATTATTTCAAATTTATTTAGATACCTATTCATTAATTTGCCAAGAGGGTTAAAATAAATAAAATAGTACAGAGGGTTCTTTTTTTTTTTTTTTTCCCCGTTAGCTTGCATGAAATTACCCTGGATTTCTGAGTTACTTGAATAGGTAGTTTCCATTTCCATAAATCCAACAGCCAAAAACTGTCTCAGACAATTTTTATACCTGTTAAAGTGGGAAGCAAAAAGGTCTGCTTTTTTCCTATCTAAATTAGTCTAATGAACTAGTCAAATTAAATAGTCAAATGAGTTTTTCATAAGAGAGACTGCAATGAAAAAAAACACAAATGTTTTTAAATTTAAATTACACCCATGGTCAGTTTTGTCAGACAGAGTTAGTTCACATCTCTCTTTATCCTCACTTGACACCTCAGACATTTAATACAGCATATTTTGTTCTGGTTTTGCTAAGTTTAACCTTGCTGTGCTCGGAATGCTCTCACCATGGTACACAAATGCTTTTTATTATTCCTCCCAGCCTGCACCTCTGACCAAGAAAGTCTTCATTCTACATCTCCATCTGCTTTGAACTTTCCCAAATGATCCTATTTGCGCTCAAATTTTCACTATCAAAATCTCTCAGGGACTGCTTCCATCACATGTACCATTCAGAACTGAAAAGTCTTCCACCTCTAAGCACACTGTGATGTCAGCATTTTTGCCATCTGCAAACAATCACTTTAAAATATTCATTCAAGCCACTGCTGTCAGAAGGCATGCTCCAAGCAAACGTGCTGTTTTCTTGTTGATCTCTTAAGACTCTTTGCTTAATCTCTTCTTAATCAGAGTGTCATCAGAAACACTGAAAACAGCCAGGTTATGAATACTGCTTATGAGCATTGCTTCATTAGTTACTTATGATAAGGACAGAGTGTAAGGAATGTCTAACTTCATAAAAACATGAATGTGCGCACATTCCTGATTCAAATCAAATTTCTGATGATGATTTGCTGGTCCACAAGTCCAATGGTAATGATTATACAGTAATGGCCATAGTCATATTAGCAGTAACACAAATTAATAGTAAGCTAATTAAGTAAAATAGTGCTCATCAACTATCTTTAGATGTGCTGCACCACATGAAAGGTTCTGCAATCCTCCCGTGTGAAGATCTGCCTCCTGTACTTAGTTGGAACCCTTCTTCCAACTTTATACAATGCCCTGTAGATGTCATAGGGGAAGAGACAACTAACAGCCAACTCAGGCCACTCTTCCAAGCCACACATCATTTTGAAGATTTGTACAGTTTTCCCGTCTTGGCTCTTTCCAAGCCAGATGCCTGACATTTCTGACAGCTGAAGACAGCAAGTTCAGTAGTTCTTTACCCAGAAGTTGTTTGAGACTTTTGATGATCCCTGTTGCCCTTTTCTGACACATTCCAATTCTGCTGAGTGCTTTTGACCAGAACTGTGCCGAGTACTTAAGATGACAGCAAACCACATCTTTATACAGAAGCATACTGAGATTCAATGGTTAACTTTTGGTTCACTTCCTAATCATTTCCAGTATTTGATTTGCTTTTTGACCACTGAACAACAAGCTAATGCTTTCACAGAACTACCACTTATTACCCGAAGACCTTGCTCCTAAGGGATAACAGTTATCTTGGACTTAAAAATGAAAAATATTTTTCTTCCAGATCGAAAGTCCCAGAAAAGCCTCAGGAATGTGTCTTAAATGACACTGTTATACTAGGAAAGTGATTTATTATTGTTATAATTAAAAAAAAGAAGCGAACTAAAAATGGTGAGAAAAGTCCTGAAATTTTTTATGAAGTACAAATCTAGAAAGACCAGCCACAATTGTTATCAGGTTCCTATGCTTCTGTGTTTAATTGTGTTCAATTGACACGTGCATAATAATTTTATAGAAAGCATGAACAGTGCTCACTGTTCCGAGCTATGTTTATACACCGTCTTCAGTTACTTTTCCGAGAACATGAGACAACTGTGCTACATTTATCAAGGTTGAGTTTCACTAAATTTCTTTAATGAAAGTGTTTTGTGAATATATAAACAACTATGTTAAAATTTTCATATCAACTTATTCTGAGAGCAAACTACCTGCAACAACATCCTGATATGGCAGCATTTAATATTCACTCCACAGTCTGCATGGTTTAGGCAGAAGACCCAAAGGACAGGTTTACCATCACATATTCTTTCAAACTCCTACAGCTCACTGTATTTATAATTCACACCACTTAATTGTTATTGTTATTGGCTCAGTTAAAGCTTTGAAATGTTATCTGCCTGGGAACAAAGCCATTCTATTCTATTTTACTAAGATGAAGATGGCAAATAATAATTAAAGCAATAAAGAAGCAAACAACCAAAACAAAGCAAACAATTTTTCAAATCTGCTAGAGTGTGATCCAGAACAGACCTACAGTGCCATAAGTGGGGAAAAGAGAAAGAACAGAGGATATCCACACTACTGAGAAGTATTTTCCTTCAGCTGTTTATAATGTTCTTACTTAGATGCAAACAGGCTGCAACAGAGCCACAGTCAGTGAAGTAACCACTCTGCAGAATTGGTCTGTGAAGGAACTTTTCTCTATCCACCAGCCATTCAGGCACAGAGCTCCTGCTAGCTGCCTACGAGAAAATGCTACGACTGCTTCTCCATGTGACCTAAGCCAGGTCTTACCATTCTTTCCCTATTTTAATAAATCCTTTCATTCTAGCTGCTCTCTGACATTCACTCTCTGAAAGACTTTATGCTGTGCAGAAAATTATGCATGATGAACTTGTGCTGAGACAAAAAAAAGTTTAAGCTATCTCATTTATTTCACGTAGTTTGATATCAACCGCGAGTTGATATGGGACATACACGAGTATGTCCCCCGTGTAAAGAAAAAGCACATTTCAGTAATGTGGGTGCTGTCCTGCCTAGAGTTATACTTGTTCATAGCCCATACTTGCACTGCAAGTAGTCAGAGTGAAGATCCTGGAACTGTTTGTGAACACAGTTCACAGATGAGTATGAAAGAAAAGCTCTGTTTGCTGTTTCAAGATAACTTCAGGAGTATTGCACAGGAGTACAGATAAAGTCCTAGAAGTCCACACACTGTGGCTTTAGATGGAGAAAAGTGGAAACACTTAAGAGATATATGGATCTGATGCTCAGGGACATGGATTAGCAGTGGACTTGTAGTGTTAGGACATGGTTTAGCAGTGGACTTGTAGTGTTAGGACATGGTTTAGCAGTGGACTTGTAGTGTTAGGTGAATGGTTGGACTTGATGATCTTATAAGCTTTTTTTTTTTTTTGAGGTTAAGTCAAAAGTCATGAAAGTCTTCCATATCCAAATGATAAAGAAAGGGAACACCAGGCATACTCTTTGAAGTACTCAAAAGAACCCAAAATATTCTCAGATAAACTAGAATTCAAGTGAAAAAGACAGAGAAACATTCCTTAGATGACTAGTAATGGTACAACTTCTAAGCATGCAATTCATGTTAAACAGTACAATGCACTGCAATCACCACAAGGGTCACGTAATAGAAAGATAGTAAGGTCAATCTATAAACCACTTGGTGTGGTCTCACTGCCAATATTTTACTGGCAAATCAAACCATGATGACAAGATAAGTAGTTTACAAAGTTTCCATTATTATCACATTATTGTTATTATTATTGTTGTCTGGAAATGAGACATAAAACAAAAATACGATTTTCCACAAGAATTTGGAAGGAAGATGTTTGCTTTGAGAAATATGAAAAAACAATTCAAGTTGCATATATATATATGTATAAATTTTTTTGACAGCTCTCAAGAAAGATTAAAAAAAGCCCAAAAGGAGACATCTTCCTGCATTTCTATGGGTGGAAGTAGTTTTCTCTGAAATGCAGGCTGACTGCACTATTAGGAATGCATGATTATACCCACATTTAATACTGGTTCAGTAAAAGGCTTTGTATAAAAATACAGGATTGAAGATGCATGAGGTATACAGCCCACAAAGTTAAAACCATTACATCCAGAAATGACAGACTGAAGATAATGCTAAGATACAGAACCTTCCTGAATCTCTTCTTTACAATGAAAATTTATACACTGTACCCATTAATGTCTCATAAAACGTAACAATATATTCCTAGAAAATTGATAGAAAAAATATCGGGAAACTCACCTCCATAGTCAGAAACCCTTTCTGTGGTAGATGGCATATATCAAAGATAGATGCAATTCAGTTTGCTCTAGAGCAATTATCAAAGTCTTGATGCTTGCTTTGTCTCTTTGAAAAATAACCCTGTTACTTTCATAGTTAAAAATTCCAGGCCACTTTATGATCCATTTGTTTTACCTTTTCCAAAAATCAGTGATACTTTCTCATTTTAAAAATATTCTTCTGTGATAATTAATAAATCATCCCTTTTGGCGCTCAAACAAGTACCTGTTAATGTCACTAAAACATGACTAAAAAAATATCCAGTTCCTTCAAGATATCCGTAAGAAAAATCATGTAGTTACAGAAACTTTGGTCACCATCCAGCTGTTTACTCACCCATTTCTTGTCTAGTACTGCAGATTCCTGTTCCATATCTTTGTAGCTCTTTGGTTACAGTTTTCAAAGCATTAGGATCTGTTTCTGCGAAGCCGAGGTAGTTATATGAACCCATATTGATTACATTCTTGATGGTTCTTCCTGTAAACCTATAATCAAAGCAAATTTTAAAGAATGCTGTGACCTTTCTTTGCACTCGAAACAAAAACAAACAAAAAAGTTTCCAAATTTTGTTCCATCATCGGACTTCCATGTGGAATTTACAATCCTTATAATATCAACATCTTACTGAATAATTACTGCATCCTGAGCAGGAAAGCTGTAGATGGCAATATACTGATATTAGGTGAAATGGCCATTCTGTAGACTTTTTTTTTTTTAAAAAAAAGCCTAGGACTTTTTATAAGGTACAACCTAGAAAGATTATTTTGTCAAATGGTTTGCCAGCAGCTTCCAAAAAGTTACTGGTGTTACTGTACTTACACACAGAATAAACATGAGGTGAATGACATGGGAAACACTGTGATACACTCCAGCCTAAACACTGTCTGCATGATGAATTTCCATATCTATTTAACTCAGTAACAGATATGATAAACTGAAATTTTCAAGTTTTAAATTGATTAAAACTCACTTCCAGAGACTTGTTAAGCAAGATAGAAGCCACATTTATGTATTGCAAGAAATTATTATTCTAGTCCAAATGGATAAAACAAATGTCGTGATATTCTGGCTAAGATGTTATAAATGAAGCACAGGAAGTTTTTACTTAGGCTGATAAAGATAGGTAAAACTAGTTTGTCACTGAGTTCTGTCCCTTCCAGTTTTCACTGCCAAACCTTGTTCAGAAGAAAGCGGATAGACTATCAGAACTGTACTGATTTCAGAAAAAAAAAGTGCTGATGTATGTATTAGTTGAGGATCAAGGTATGATGCAGTAGATGCATTTTTTTCCACGCTTTGCAGATATATCAGGATGAACATTTACAGAGCTGAAAGCTGAAGAGTGTCAGCGACTCACCTAAATGTCCAGTTGTAATCATCTGTAACGCGTTCCATGAGGTCGAACTGCGGCCCTGGGACACTGCAAATTGGACGATTCCAGTTATCACGTATTCTCATATAGAGGTTTCTGGTGTAAAAGTTCTCAAAATCTTGATAAAGTGGCACAAAATCCTGGTTTGAAAACATGCACAGGGTTACGTTGCTAGGAAAATGTCTGCTAAGGAACTCAAGCCATTCCCATTACATAGGAACAACTGATTGATTAGTATGCAGAAGGTTACAATCACCACTTATTCTTATGTTACAAACAATTCCAATTGGAAAATATCTTTAATTTCTTTGAAGTACACGTTATTTATTTATTTATTTAAATTTCACATGGTCCAGAAGTTGGAATAATTCTCAAATCCAATCTTTGGGAAGGTCAAGATGAAGTCAAAATACTTTCACTTACATAATCCACATTTCTCAAATGGGGCACTTTGTTATGTGCAGAGCACATTCCAAACCTGAGATAAACAACACGTTGTATCTCAGTAAATGTTTGATACATAAAAGCAAGTCCAGTGTACCTGGTGTGAGCACTGTTGGCTTGACGACAAGTTTGGTTGACAGTAAGTTTCTATCTGTGAATTTTAATTTGGAAAACAAACTAACAGGAAGGTACAGAATGAAAACAAACATTTATTTGAAACCCTAATACAGTCATATTAGACAGTGGATAGAATAAACTGGTAAAAGAAAATGACATGATATGTAGGAGAATGAACTGAACACGTAATGCCTGGTGGATGGTATGGAGATTTGACCAGCATGTCTGAAAGCAAAATAGTGCATGAATAATCAAAACATGAAGTGAATTCAAAAAGAAAATCCAAAATAAATATATCATATTACTATGATATTTCATTTGAAAATGCACATATCTTCAAAAAGTAAAAACAGAAAATCTTTTTTGAGAATTTTATATGTAAGAGGAACAGGAACACTATTTGCATTCTTCCATTCTCTATGCCAAGTGTTATTTTAAATTACAGTGCAATCGGGACAGGGAAGGTAGAACAACAAAAAATCTAAACAAATTCAGAATGCAACTGAACTTGTTGAGGTGCAAGTTTCAGTTAGGAATATGCAGTTTATAGGCGAGGATTCACAAGAATTCAGGCTACATTTGCTTTGCACCAGGACAATTTCCACGTTTTGTGACCAGCTGTTTGACAAACAAAAGTTAGCAATTACAAAGATGCTGGCTCTGCCTATTGCTATGATGGACAAGGTAAGAAAGTCAGAAGGGACAAAAAAAAGATAGGGGTAAAGAGATTGGGAGAGATGATGTATTTAACAGTAAGGGGTTTCTGAGTTTTCTTTTCCTATACATTGAACTAAGACACTGAGATACATAACTTCTTTTTCATACGTACTTTTTGTTGTTCTCTCTCCTGTGCAACGTTACGTTTTTCTAGTCCCCAGGCTCTCATAAAATCTCGCAGGTAGCCAAATATTGTGCCCACTCCAAAACCCACAAACGTAAGAACAGCAACATACATTGGTGCTTGCTCAAAGTGCTCAATAAATGTTTTTTTGTAGAGAGTTCCGTTTGTTACACCATTCTTCTGAAAATACAGAACAGAAATTTGCAACATTTAAATAAAATAATTTTATTTGATCAAAGCTTATACCAAAACCTTAGATCTTGAGGAAAATATTTCTGTCTACTATGCCACAAATCCAGAGAGGCATTTAGACCTCTCACCATACCAACTACTGCAACCTATCCTTGAAGAAGAGGACCACTAAAACTGCACTTGGTACTCATCACTGCAAGGATGTTCCATTTTCTCTCCTGTCAACCAATGTCTTCAATTGCAGATGTCTTCAGCACCACTCCCATGTCTATTTTGAAACATTTAAAACTTATGAAAGACTAGCAACACATTATTGTGTAATTGGACAATTATTTCAAAGGTGATTAAATGGAAGCCACAATATTCTGTTTTTGCAAGACAGAACTATAAAAAGGGAAGGGCAGCATTGAAAACTCACCCACATCGAGCCTGACGCTGCTTCTTAAATTCTTGTGTAACACACTAGAGCAGCTATCCTATGCACAAGAAATCCTGCCTAATATAGGGCATCTTTACCATGATGCTCTTGATGTGAGCAAGTATCCAAAACAGCAGTGATTCCAGCCTTTTATTTTTTGTTTCAGTTAAAAAAAAAAAAAAAAAGCCTTTAAATTCTTTCAATTACCTCATCCATACTTCTAAGGGTACTTTAAAAGAGGCAGTATGCATGGACACATATGCATCCTTTGTCTGCTGGAATTCGTCACCCTCTTGTGAGGGACACCTAGAAGCTTACGAACGTGTGGATGAAATTATTTGGTTGTTAAATTATACTAAATCTTCAGCAGTTGTTAGTGAAAGAAGCTAAGTTATTCAACTGCAGCCTTCTCAGATCAACCAATACTCGCAAGGTTATCAGATTATTCTTTTGAATAGAGGTCATCCCCTTAGTTCCTTAAAGTATGACAGTATTTTCCTGTTGCTTTCTAGTGATGTCCAACCTACCAATTCAAAAGCATTAAAAAAATGTAATACAGAAAAAGAAAGAACAAATCCAAAAAACAAACAACCACAACAAGAGAAGCAGATTATCTATTGATGCAATGTAGCAAGTTGAAATATAATAATCATACTAGGAACCACCACAAATTAACTGCACTTCTTAGACAGATCTAGTGTTATTGGTCTTCTCACTGCCTTAAGCTGCCGATATAGTCAAAAGATTTTCATTTCCATCATAAGACCCAGTCTTGGTTTCACCATGTTTTCTTGGAAGAAAAAGTGCTGAATACAGGATAGAATGAAAAGATTTCAAATGTAACCAAAAAAAGGGGAAAAAAAATCACTGGGGAATGGTGAAAATAAAATGTTTAGACTTAGGAAACATTTACTGCCCTGCGAAGGAGAAAGAACGAAAAGCTGTCTCTCCCCACATGAGCACAGAATTTGGAAGCAATTTTACACTAGCACCCCTACCTAAAGCAAATTGTTCTTTTAGGCCAACCTATCTACCATATAAAACGTTTTCTGAGCCCAAGTTAAACAAGTCAAGTCATACGCCAGGTAAGACACAACAGCAATGTGCACACTACATCACAAGACTGTATTTCATCCAGGACTAAGCTAAGTCCCATTACCTTACATGCATCATGGGCTATGAGCATACTTATGGTCATCTATGGCAATTCCATTGACTCTGTACTTTGGCAAGCTGTGATGATGTGATAATGAACCTGAGTTCAGAGGAGAATTGGCATGATGATTCCATTTATCCATTTTATTAATAAAACTTTACTGTTACGTATTTCATTTGTAAAGAAACTGAGAAGCTTTGGCTTAGATTCCTCCATTGCAAAACTCTTCTGCAACACTCTTTTGCTATGGAACTCTTGTCTGAGCTATGTTCCAAGCTCAGATGCTCTCACTTTATGCATTCAGCATGGTATATGCATTTAAAGATTTAACCACTGTCACCTCCTATTCTTACAGCAAACAGCTAGTAGGAAGCTGCACATCAACAGGAGTAAAACACTAAGAACCTGAAGTCAGATAGTGACCCAAATTTTCTAAAACGACAGTCTATTAATGTTCAAAAACAAGAGTCTTCCAAAAGCACAAGGTTAGTATAAGGCTGAGAAAACAAATTCAGAAAAATACAGTGAAATTTTTTCTAAAACCAGAATTGACTAAAACGGGGGCATTCCACCCATCCCTGGAGTTCCACAAAAAGAAAAAAAAGTAGAGGAAGACTCCAAGTGTTGAAATAACCAAAATAGGGAGTCATAAAACTGGATGCTTTTGTGCTGCACTTCAGATATACCATACCTCAACTCTAGCAATTCTTAACAGATGATGAAGAAAAGATTCTAAAATAAAAATAGTGAATGATGCTTTCCTTAGTACATTCTCCCAAATTCCAACAAACTGAGGCTTGAATATTTCATGATCCTGAGACTCCATTATGACGTTTAATAGTCATCAGGGATACCATGAATGTGTTTTTTATTTTTGAACACACAAATAGTATAGAAAAAATATAATGAATTTCAATAATTGAGTTAGTCTGAAAAAGAAAAAAAGTATTTCACAAACTTTTATTCGGTAACTGATACTTTCACTCAACAAGTTACTTTACAACCATTGGCTTCCACTCAGTTTTCCTATTCAGCAAAGTATGCTACCTGTAATTTTCTCTACATGTACTTTTGCTTCTCCACTTGTTCCTTTTCAAGTTGAAGAATCTTAATCTATTTGATTCCAGTCTAGTGTCCTTGTGTAATGAGTAATATGTACTCTATACATATTCTGTCTTTTTGCAATGGGACGCAGTTCTAGAAATATCCCTTAGTAATTACAGTGTATCCTTCCTTAGCTGCAACACACACCTGACTGAGAGCAGGCTGCTATTTGTGCATTCTCAGTATCTCTTTTCCCCATCCATCTTACGCATTACTTTTTATGTACTGACATGAAATTTAATGTTCATTACATACTGCCACAACTCCTGTTATCCAGAATTGATTTTTCACTACCCTGAAAAATTCTGTACTGTCAATAGCTACTGTCACCAATTTCTCCTGACCCTTTCCCCCCCCCCCCCCCCCCCAGAGATTTGGTCAAAACATGAGACAACATAATTCCAATCAGAGATCCCTGAGGGACTCAATTCCCTGCATCTCCCTGGCCAAAGGTTGTATCTTTGTAACCCTCCAATTCTATGTTGACAATGCCAACTTAAGCAGCAGCCCACAGCTGCTCAGCAACCTTATTCTTCACAAATCTTGAGTAAATATTATCCTTTGTGATATGCTAATCCAAATATTATTGTCTTGTTTTAGAAGAATATTCTGTTGATGTTCCAAATCAAAATAGTTTCTCACAAGTCTGCCACAGAGTAAGAGTACTTTCTAGGCACAAACACAAGGAATCCACCAGAGCAAGGAATAAAGATGAAAAAGACAGTCAGCTTACAGATAAAATTAAAAACGAACAGATATTTTAAAACCCAGCTCAACAAATCTAGGATTTCAACAGCTTTGTGGAAACAAAAAGCAAAATCAGGATTATAATATTTATCCTCCTTACACTGAGGCTTACTTAGCTTACCAGATCACACTGCCTTGCACACTCTTACAACCAAAGATCATAGTGGCAGCCCTGCCTCATAATCTCCGTCTGCAGTGCACAGTTATATAGAATCCTTGTTGACAGATCTGGCAGCAGCCTTAAACCACAGTTGCTAAGTGGTTTCCAGTAAGACAGTCACAGCAAGAGAATTTCTGGGCAAAGTTTTGATGCCAATGAAGTCAATAGGAACAATCCCAGTACGGTCAGTCAAGTCAGCTTTAAATGCAATACATCTTGTATCTCTATATCGTGCAGTTTATAGGAGAAGAGGTAACCACTTACACCGGTATAATTTATGAGTAAGCCCATGAATGGAATAGAGATGAGGAAACTGAGACTCGAGAGCCCATGTTTTCACACAAGACCATTTTGTAGAAGCAACATACACTGCAAAGAAATCCAGAAATCACAGTCTACTTTTTGAAACCTCTCCTTAATTAACATTTTGTAAGCTATTATGGCTACTTCCAGTACAGCAGCGGTAGGTGTGAACAGCTATATTCTTGAAATAAAACTACTAGGAAAATAATAAAGTCTTTTTCTTTAAACATATTTCCTCTCCTAGAAATAAAAACTGATCCAGAAACAGATGAAACTTTATTTTACACTCCTTCAGTTTAAGAAGCACATTTAATCTGTTTCTGGATCAGATGTTATCATGTTGTTGCATAAAACCTATAAAAACGCAATGTAAGCTGAATGATCCACATAAAACTGACATGACAAACACAAATATGAAAGGGATAGATGTTGAAAACCATAAATCAAATGACATCCACATTTGCCCAGTTTCTGCCAGATTCCAAGAAGCCATTGAAATCTTGCATGAATTATGACAGTACATTGCTACAGCCAAAAACCGATGGGAGCACAGACTGACAATCACTGATGAAACATCTGGTTGCTTGCAGATAGTTTGGTTCTACACAGAGATGAGTGGAGCTACTAAATGCCTTCTTTGCTCCAGTCTTTACTATTAAGATTGCCCCTTAGGAGTTTCAGATCTGGAGATAAGAGAGAGAATCCGGACAAAGAAAAACCTCCCCTTGGTTGAAGAGGATCTGGTCAGAGATCATCTAGGCAAACCTGACAAACACAAATCGACAGGTCCCAATTATGCACTCATGAGTGCTATGGGAGCAGGCAGAAGTGACTGTTGAACAACTCTCTATCACCTCTGAATAGTCACGGTGAATGGGAGAGGTGCCTGAAGTCTAGAGGAAAGCCAATATTGCTGCAGTCTTCAAAAAGAGCAAGAAGGAGAAGTCAGGAAACTACAGGTCAGTCAGCTTCATCTCCATCCCTAGAAAGGTGATAGGGCAGCATATTCTGCACGTCATCTCTAAGCAGATGGAAGAATCGAAGGTTATTAGAAATAGTTAACTTGGGTTCACCAAGTGGAAATCATGCTTCACCAATCT